TATTAAAAATAGTTTTTATTTTTATTTTATTTATTTGTAATATTCTTGTGTATCTCGTAATTTCTCTCTTTTCCTTGTCAATAATCCTAGGGTTAGTGAAATCAGCTGTGTGGCCGCTGATTAATAAGTGCTGTGATATGGCTGTGCTGTGTTTTTGTTATTAACTGACTTCAAAATAAATAATATAAAAAAAACTTTTTAAAATACAACGCTTTTATAAATGGACTAAAAAGTAGAAAATAATACTTCTCAGTCCCATAGAATTTGTTTTGATAACTTTGGATTTTGAAATTTTAGCAAAAGTCATTATAAACAATCTATGAAATTGAAAATGAAAAACGTGGAGCGCATGCAATACATTCCAGTTGCTCGCAGGGTTGTTGTTGTAGCGGCTACTAAGCCCCGTTCGGGACGGTTCATCCATCAACGTTGTCGTCTATTTCAGCTAGGGGGAGGCCCAGGAAGTGTGCTACTTCCAAAGGGGCTGTCCATAGGGACAGGGGCGTTAGCTGAGTAGGGTTCTCAGGGCATGTGAAGAGGTACCGGGAGTCATGTGGCAACTCTCCACATGCCGGGCATTGGTTGGGCACATCCTCCTTGATTCTGCTTAGGTAGCTGTTGAGCCTGATGCAATAGCCAGAACGAAGTTGGGCTATTGTAGTGCGGGTCTCCCGAGGCAGATCAACTTCTGTCCCGTCCACGTCCGGTGCTTGTGTGCCTAGGCATTCACAGGGCGGGAGTCTACATAACTTGAGACTGATTCCCTGTGAATGCCGTTCAGGGCCCGTCGGTAAGTTGACGGGTCTAGAGGTTGTTTGATATACCTCTGGACTTCGTCTGTCAGTTCGTAAAGATGCCTCCTGACGTGCCGTGGCGAGATCTCTACCGTTGCCCGCTGGGATGGCCACGTCTGTGGCTCCCAGCGAAGAACCGCTTGCAGAGCATTATGTTATGCTCCTTTACTGGGAGCATCTGGGCCTCGTCATGAAGGTGGTGTTGTGGCGTCATCAGGAGGCATCCTGTCGCAGTTCGTAATGCCGTGTTTTGGCAGGTCTGTAGCTTCATCCACTGCGTCCTGCTAGTCCCCGGCGACCATACGGGCGCTGCGTAGTTTAGAACCGGCGGGCCAATTGCCTTGTATGTTGCCAACAACGTTTCTTTATCTTTGCCCCAAGTGCTGCCGGCCAGCGACTTGAGGACATTGTTGCGGCTCTGTACTTTGTTGACAATTGCGGTTGTATGCGCCGAGAAGGAGAGCAGACTGTCGAAGGTAACTCCGAGGATTTTCGGGTTATTCACCGTCGGTATTGTTACGCCATCGACGTGAATACCCAGTGGCAGTCTGACCTCCTTCGTCCAGGTGGTGAAAAGGGTTGCCGAGGATTTCGCAGGGGATAGGGCAAAGCTACTTGCAGTGAAGAAGCGAGAAAGTTCGGAGAGGTAACCGTTAACTTTTGAGCACAAGTCATCAATTCCATTCCCAGACGCCATGATCGAACAATCGTCAGCATACGAGACTATATTAACACCCTCTGGTGGCTGACGAAGCTTTGATATGTAATAATTAAACAGTAGCATGGACGGGACACCACCGTGTGGTACCCCCTGTTTAATTTTACGTGGCTTGCTAGTTTTGTCTCTGAAAATTCGCCGACCACCGTTTGAGTCCCTGTGAGAGTGAGGAGGCCTCTATATCTTCTAGTAGCGTTGAATGACTGACAGTGTCGAACGCCTTGGACAGGTCCAACGCTACTAGAATAGTTCTCTGTGTTATCTGAGTGTTTGTGGCGTTAAGTGCTGTTGTTGTACTATGCACTTTACGGAGCCCATGTTGATGCTTCGCTGGGGTCAGGTAGTTCGTGAAGTAAGGGAGCAGCAGGGCCTCGAGTGTCTTCACTACCGGGGAAAGGAGAGTTATCGGGCGATAAGACTCTCCTTTGTTGGCTGGTTTCCCCGGTTTGAGCAGTGGGACCACTCTTCCCATTTTCCAGATGTCTGGAATGATGAGAGCGGCCATAGACAGGTTGAGGACCTCCGGTAGGTACGCTTCTCCCGCAGGACCCAAATTTTTCGGCATCAACATGCATATTCCGTCGGGTCCAATGGCTTTGGAGGCTTTCGCCTTCCCGATGGCTACCCTTACCTCACCGCTGGTGAAAAAAAAGAGGCGCACTGGGTTTTTGCATTTTGTGCAGCCTTCTGGTCACTCGACGTTTGGCTTTATCCACCGGAGGATGCAGAATGAACTGCCGGCTAAAATAGCTCGCGCATCTCTCCGGGCCCGACGAAGCGTGGTCACCGAAGTCTATCTCGACTCTGTCGTCGCGATTCGTCGGGTTGGACAACGACCTCACGGTTGACCAAAGCTTGCTCACACCAGAGGCGAAGTTGCAGGTCTTCAAATGCTCTTCCCATTTCTTCCGCTTATGTACGTTCACAAGTTGCCGAATCTCCAAATTGAGGTCCCTAATACGGGGATTTCCGGGATCGACCTGACGAAGGTTGTCGCGCTCATCAGCTAAAACAGCCGCTTCGGCAGGAAAATTCGGACGTGGATCCTTAATACATCCTGCTGGGATGAAGCGAGCTGCAGCAGCGGTGACAACCCTGCGGAACTTACGTTCACCTACATGAACGTCGGTTGGTATAGGTAGTGCAGTGAAGGCGCCCTCAGTAACATCCGTGAAGCCTTTCCAGTCAGCTTTGGAAAAGTTGACATAAGTCCGGTGATCCACGAAAGCAAAGTCGGCAGGTTTATCAATCGAGATGACTATGGGCAGGTGGTCTGATGCTAGAGTCAGCATAGGTCGCCATTATACGCTGTTTATCAGACCAGCGCTGACAATTGTTAGATCTGGCGAGCTGCAGCAGCTGTCCATAATCCTGGTGGGTGCGTCGTCGTTCATTGTGCAGAATGTCGAATCGTCTATCTGCTCAGCCAGATGAATTCCAGAGATCGTGGTGCGCGTTAAAGTCACCAACTACCATACGGTTTTCACCTCTGAGTAGCGCACCTATTTCAGGGTGATATCCTTCCGGGCAGCTGGTGACAGGGGGTATGTATACGTTAAATATTTCGAGCTCAACATCGCCTGACCGGATAGCAATACCCTGACATTCTAGGATGGTATCCCTGCGGTCGATGTCTGCTTCAATGAGACGATACTGTACGGTGTGATGCGTGATGAACGCTAAACCTCCACCGTTATCTCGCTCGCGATCTCGACGGTGCACGTTGTATCCGGCGCAACTCAACAGGGTTGAATTGCCGTGCAACTTCGTCTCTTGGACCGCAGCTATTAATATTCCATGCCTTCCCATGAAGACAGTTATCTCTTCGATCTTGCTCTGGAGTCCGTTACAGTTAAATTGTAGCACGTTTATGTGCCTTGGGAGACCGATTGTGATGTGTGGTGTTAAAGAGGTGTGTTGCCTGCCGGCCCCCTGATGTACGTGCTGCAAAAGGGGGTGCTGCCTTGTGGTGGTGGTTGGCGGCGTCGCGGGGGATGGATGCGACGCGGCAGCACAGCAGGGGCCCACATAGTCACCCGTCCAATCTCGTGTGTTGCGAAGTCATGAGCATGCCCTAAAGTGGCACCAGCCGAGGCAAGAGTTGCACTTGACTGATGTCACGTTACGGTATATTCTGGACTGACAAACAGAGCAGATTGTCGGAGGGACTAGGAGTTGCCGGCGGCGGTGTGTGGGTGCTATTGTGTTTGTTTGTGTGTCTGTTGTCCGAGCAGTTACGGAGGTGACTCCACCCGTCACAGGCATTGCACCTGACCGAGGTGGAGTTTGTATGCATTCGTCTCTGGCATACGCAGCAGGTGTAGATTTCTGGCCCTGGGTTTGACTCTATGCCAGCCCTGAGCAGAAGGGTGCTGAGAAGGTGTAGCCCTAGGATCGAGCAACGTTTGATGGATTTCACCGCCCTAAACGGGGTTAGATCGCCGAAACAACAGCACTTGGTCGGGTAAAACCCGAGTCATTCCGGTACGTAGAACCGGCTGTCGTGGGAATGCTGGCAGGGTTAATATCTCCGCTTTATGTATGTATGTATATTAGGGTGATTCAGAAAAAAACAATATTTTTTCCTTTCGTTTTTCGTTTAGATGCCAAAATAAGTCTCAAAAAATATTAATATTGAGAATGCCCGCATCGCACTTTTCGATTTCCCAAAAGAATAACACAGAAAAAATGTTTTTTTTCACTTCTGATTTTTATATTTAACGAATGATACGTTGTACTGTAAAGATCTTGGAGTCTTTTTGAGAGAATTGAACGCTCTACAAAAAAGGTCTGAAATTATTTTTCGATAAGTTAACTCGAACAAAAGTTTTTCAAGAATTAAAAAAAAAAACTATTTTTCCTGTGTTATTCTATGGGGAATCGAAAAGTGAGTTGACATTTTTAATATTAATATTAAGGGCGCACATTTTCTGAGACTTATTTTGGCGTCTAAACAAAACTTTTGAGCATGGTTCCGAAGAAAAAAAAAATCTGAATCACCCTAATGTATATAGGACCTGTGCTTGCTCATCTTTTGAAAAAGCACTGTATTATTTGTACTTTTTGTTTTTAAGGCGATGGCATGTAAATAGCAATGAAATAATTTTTTTCCAAATCGGGTACCGAAAAGGAAGTATTGGGTACCAACATTTTTTTAAAGTAGTGGGTACCGAAAATTCATCACATCACTAGGAATCAGGTCTTAAAACCTAAGCCTCAAAATTTTGTTGACCAGTGTGTTAATGGAATATTTATGATATTTCATATTGACAAAAATTACCTGTCCCTTTTCTTTAAGTGCATTGGCTAAATTGCAATAAGCATCTGGGAAGTTAGGCTGCAGCTCTATCGCACGCCTATAGGTGTCAATAGCCAAATCAATCAGCCCTTGCTCATAATAGACGCATGCTAAATTTCCATGAACAACCGCATTATTTGGTGATAAACTTAAAGCTCGCAAATAAGCCGCTACCGCTCTAGAAATACATAGATAAATAAAATAAGGCATAAATATCTCAAAGTTTTGAATCGATTAATTAATTCTAGCGTTTACCGAAAAAAAATGAATCGCTTCAATTATCAAAATAATTCTATTTTGGGTTTTAGTGAAAAGAAATTCAATCGTTACGGCTGAAGCTGTAGCATGCATTTAGGTGCTAGGTGTTAACAAAGAGGCAATGGCATGCAAAAACAACTTTTCGTTGATTTATTTTGTTTCAATGTTAACGATTGGTAATTTATTTCGTTTCAACGCTAACGTTTGAGTTTTGTTTTCTTAATTTAGCTCTGAAACGTAACGAAGTTATTTTGATAAGTTAGAAAACGAAATCGATTCATATACAGTGACGAGCAAAACTGTAACATGGTGTAACACTTTTTATTTCAGCCACCGCTATCTTTCCAAGTTCTAACGACATTCATACTTTTGTTGTATATTCTTATTGGTACACCCCTACTCCCTCTCTCATAACGATTTGAAGTCAATCCAACAACAATAAAAAAATTGCAAACAAAAATGTAAATTAAGACAAATGTTACAGTTTTGCACTCACTCTCAGTTTTGCATTTTACAGTTATCTTTTACTTAGTTGGAAGTCAGATGCCTTTTTTTTGTATTGTAATTTATTCAAGAAGTTATCACCAGTAAATAAGCTGAGTCAGTGGGATCGTCGGTTCGAATCCTACTGAAAGAAGTCTGATGAGGAAATGTGGTGATTTCCGAAATAGCTATCACTTCTACCATTTTTTCAAATTATTGTTGCTTTTCCACAATAAATTTTCATTTAAAAAAAAATGGCCTCGAGCTCATTATAAAAATTGTTGAGTAAATAATATGGTTAATCAGGAAAAATAAATTTAAATAATAGATTTACTGCGGAAAGGCGGGACCACAGGAAAAGTGGCATAAAATTGTGGAGTTTGCCACATGAAAATGCTAAGACTGAGAAAAAATATAGCCTAAAGTGTTGCTTAGGACAAAAAAGTCTGTAAAAAATATTACGGTCCGATATCTTATGAACCTAGTAGCACGTAGCGCTGCAGCCACTATTACAGAAGCGCTTAAGGTATTAAAATTGAATGTAAATCAGTAGACAGCGAGGCGAATAATTGCCAAATTGAGCGCAAAAGCAGCATAAAAGAAGAAAAAGACAATTTTGATCAAAACACATGTGCGAGGGTGGTAGCATTTTGCTGTATGGCACGAAAACCGGACCGTTGCCTACTGGGATATGTTAGGCATTTCAGAATGCAATAAAAAATCACATTTTTGACAAGACTTAATTAATCGCTTTCAATCAGATGGGCGGGCATGGTATTGGATCAAAGAGCCAAATTAAGCCTAAGCGCATCATGTAAGGCGAACTGTGAATCACAGTGGTCGGTCAATAATAGTTTTGGGTTGTATTTTAAAAATGTTGTTGGCCGTTAGTACGCATTAGTCTAAAAAATTAGAGTTTCTGCCGAAAAATCACCCAATACACATAGTACATGTTCGCAAAGACTGGATACAAAAGCAAAAATTTGCTCATTTGAAATGACCTCCACAATACGCGGACATTAATCTCATGGAGAGTTTGCGAAATCAACAAAAAGCACAGCTTACTAAGTATCCAAGTCCGTCCAATGGAGTACATGAGCTGTGAAAGCAAACCAAGGATATATGGGAGGCTATACCTCCAGAATTTTTACAGAGATACACATTAGGGATGCCAAATCCTTGTTTTATTACTGTTGTTGGATTGACTTTAAATCGTTATGGGAGAGGAAGTACAGGTGCACCAATAAGAATATACAAGAAGAGTATGAATGTCGGTAAAACTTGGAAATATAGCGGCGACTGAAATAAAAAATGTTACACCATGTTACAGTTTTGCTCGTCACTGTAGTTTGTTGAGCATCTGTGGTAAATATATTATACATACATACAAAACAAAATGCAAAACCACGTATGTGAGGTTGCATAAATTATTTTCTAGAGAGTAAAAACCCTTACTATTTCCAAATGGTTATCTTTTTTATAAAGCAATCGCATTTCTGGCTAGTATATTTCAGGACGAATGGATAAGGATTGAGCCAAGAGCTTGTGTTAGAGCAAATCCAGTTTTTGGCAGCAAATTTCAGCTACGCGGTTTTGCAGAATGACGATATGCGGTTTTGTACTTTAAACGACGATATGTACATACTAGGAATGTTAATTCCGGTCTTTTTTAAGTCCCGAAAATCCCAGGATTTTTAGCCCAGAATCCCGGGATTATAGGGATTTGTAATTTGCAATTTGTGGCAATAATAGAAACGCCTTTTGTTGACAAGTTTTGACTATATTTCTTTTGTTTATTTAGTATTTAATATTTTTTTTAGTGTATTGCTCGTTATACATATAACACCGTGCGACAGGCAATTTTACTCACAAATGAATATATTCGCGAAACCAAGGGCCCAATATAGTAAACTTACGTTTTTAGTTTTTCTCCCTTACGTCAGGAGTTTTTAAAAGGACATTGAAATTTTAATGATATGAGTAACTCAAAAAATGATTTAAAAATTAAGTGCAATGTTCTTAGAAAACCAGTATGGGTATCAAATAAAAGAGAAAGTTTTGTAGAGTTAAAACAGATTGAATTTTTTGGTGCATAAGAGATGGGTAGGTATTGAAAATGTCTTTTTAATATTTTATCATTGAAGATGCTTGAAATTTTGCGATTTTTATTTTTGAAAAAATTATATGTTATGTTGAAACTTTGCAATTTTTATTTTTGAAAAAATTATATGTTAACGACTAATATATACGGCTTTCCCACGGCACCGTGAATTACTTTGTTTACTCCCCCAATTACGATGGGGTAACCATTCCTACGGGCACATCCTTAAGTCGATTTGACAGTTCACTGTCTCTGTTCTTGGGTTTGGTTTGCTTCACTACAACATTGATGCAAAATGTGAGTTATTGCCGAAAATTTATAAATTTCTGTACTAAATTAGTAATGTACACTAGGGTGCCAATCGAAAATGCTTTCTTTTAGAAATTTCAAGACCCTACCCCCTTATTTTATTCGTTTTTATGAGAAATATTATTGCCTCTTTTAATACATTTTGTAAAGGTCATTTAGAGGTCGCAACCTGTCGAATTACTATTATGACTATTTTTGATTCGATTTCAAATATCGAATATGATCTAAGGAGGGGATATATAGGCCTTTAAAATGGTATATAACAATCTATTGTCGGGCTAGGCTTGTTGGGATTTTTTATCAGTTATATTAAAAAAAGACCCATATTTCTCGTATTTTTTTTAATTTTGACCATCGATAAATTCTACAATTTCAAAATCTGGAGTACTATATAAAATTAAATCTTTTTTCAACTAAACTGATACCTCATTAATTGCAATCGCATAAAAATTGTCGAATTTAGGCGACTTTTCCTAAATACGGCTTGGTGTGTATGTACCGGAATTTCAGATTTTTTGAGCAGTGTGACTAAGGATTTCATCAATATTTATTAAAAATTGATATATACAATCGCTCTTCAGCAAAAAAATGGGTTTTCAAGAAAACTCAAAAACTACTTGACCGATCTCAACCAAATTTGGTATACACATTATGCTTAGCCTCCTTAAGTTACGTCTTCAATATGCTTGAAAACGAAAAAACCAACTCCTCCTAACATATAGCTAGCTCTGAGTTTTTTGAAATTAAATTTACGTTGGTAGAGCCCGTGGTTTTTGTCCGATTTTCAATATGGCGCTAAAGAAGCCTAAGCGCAATGTGTTCACCAAATTTGGTTGAGATCGGTTAAGTAGTTTTTGAGATACACATATATGATATAAGTGGGCGGTGCCGCCCCCTTTTTCCTGAAATTCCTTGAAAATCCACTTGTTTCCTAAAGATTGATGAATTCCTTAGCCACACTGCTCAAAAATCTGGAATTCCGGTACATATATACACATAAATTCAAGGCCTTATTTAAGAGAAGTCGGCTAAATTCGACAATTATTATGCGATTGCACTAAATGAGCTATCAGTTTATTTAAAAATAGATTTAATTTTGGGTAGTCCAACATATTTTGAAATTGTAGAAATAATCGATGGTCAAAATTTAAAAAATTAAGAGATACTATATGTTTCTTTTTTATTTACCCTATAAAAAATCCCAACAAGGTAAATCCGACTATAGACTGTTATATACCATTTTAGAGGCCTATATATCCTCTTCTCAGATCATATTTTACCTTTGAAATCAAATCAAAAATTGTCTTTCAAAAACTCATAAATCTACAAAATCGTATTTTCTGACTTAAATCGACAGGTCGCGACCTCTAAGTGATCTTTAAAAAATGTATAAAAATAGGCAATAATATTTATCATAAATACGAATAAAATTAGGGAGAGGGTCTTGAAATTTCCAAAAAAAGTACTTTCGATAAGCACCCTAATGTACACATTTATTAACTTCACTTTTAGTACTCAGAGAAAGTGACAGTTTTGATTTGTGAACAAGTTTCGGTAAATTTTCGATTAAAATTAGAGACGGTAGCGACTTGTTCGTAATTCGCATGGTAATTGGATCTGAATTGCCCTCAATTGAGGTAATTCGCTCTCGAAATTAAGAACGGCGAATTACGTAATTCGAAGGGTAAGTGGAGTGTGAATTATACTAAGTTCGCAAGTCAGAGCAGGAGAAAATTGAAAAAACCAAAACAAAGAAAGGTGGAAGGAAAAACACAACGAACTGTCAAATCGAGTTAGGAATGAGTCACGTAAACAGGGTAATTCACCAAAGTAATTCAGAAGAGAACTGGCAGTGCTCGTGGGGACATAGTATTACGAATGGCAGCGCGAACTAACTTTATTAGTTTAAACAAATAAAATTGATTAAATGAGCATTTTCAATGCCCTGCGAACCCAAACAACAACAGAAACACGAATTCGGCACTTTCGGGCACCTGCGGGTGAGCAAAACAACAGACTTATTTTTT